GGCTGTCCATGTGAGGCTATAAAAGAAGTCAACACAAGAAACTGAAGATGACTTACTGTTATTGGGGTATCATTCTTAAACTAGACTTATTGCTTCATGGTTGCATGCCTCCGCAAACCAGTCCATTTACAGTTACAGATTACATCCATGTCTGTATGGACTCATATGTTGCCATGACAGTTAACGGTGCTTTAAACATGGATGTTGCTGCATCATTACATCTTCAACCCAGGAGCACAGAAGATCTATATAATCAGCATAGTTTCAAGATGGACACTCAAGATTTGTGTCACCAATTCAGTATCTGACCAAACTGAATAATGGTTAGAAAAGTGTTTTTGCAGAACATAATCATGTCACAGTGAAGCTGACTTTTGACCTTTTGGATATAAAAGGTCATAATTTCATCATTTTATTCTATTAGATATTTGAGTGAAATTTTGTCATAATTAGCATATGATTTCTTGAGTTATGGCCAAAAAACATGCTTTGTTAGGTCACAGTGAACCTGACCTTTGACCACCAAATAATCAGTTCATTATTGAATCTATGTGGAAGCTTGTGCCAAATTTGAGGAAATTCCCTCAAGGCACTCTTGAGGTGTTGCATTTACTAGAATAAGACAAACAAGGACACAGTGACCTTGACCTTTGACCACCAAATTTTAATCATATCATCACTGAGTCCATGTGGACGTTTGTGCCAAATTTGAAGAAATATCCTCATAGTGTACTCGAAAACATCACGCCTCCAGTCATGAAGGTCACCGGCTCAGAGGCATAAAAATGTGTTATTGCTATCAGAACAAATAGCAAATGAATTCTGGCCTGTTGAGATGACAGATTGTTTCTGAAAGTGAAATAAAAAAAAATATGAAAAACGGATCATTCTAGTATCTTTATTACTTCTCATATCTCGCTCTTTCTGTGACCCTGTTTGACATTCAATAAAATTTGTTTTGACTCGAGGCAACAGCATGACAGTCAACAATTTTGCACACAGTTTACAAGGAAACCTTCAAGAATCAGCTTGATGTTGAGAAAGCTGTGAGAATAAGCCTGTTATGCCAAAATACTGTCCGTACACGTTCTCTACATTTGAGATGAAGCAATTTGCACCAATTCTCTTTAGTGATTGCAGACACTTGGGAACAGTTTTGTGTTTAACAGTAAATCAGGACAGGTAATACGGCGGTGTTTTTCAGCTGTCTGAATCTGCATGATGAATCACAGCTGAGGTGGAACTCAATTCTATAGAATAAAATGAATGGAAATGGAAGTGATTAGTTATCAATTAAGTCATAACTTCAATATCATACAAGTCTCAAGGAAATGTTGAGTTTTATTCATTCACCTTAATTTGTTCTAAAAGGCCTTCAACAGTTAAGAAGCATGTGTTTGTGTTGTGTTCATTAACTGCTTTCTATATTTGCGTGTATGGTAATTCCCAGACGTTCCTCCTAAACAGTGGAGGTCAGCCCTCTAACTAGGCTAACAGACTAATTACTAAAAAGGCCTAATACACACACACTGGACCACTATTGGCCAACAAAACGCACTTGGTTGCTTTTTTTCAATATACGCTAATTGGCATGCAAATTAAAAATGCTAAATTTCTAACACGATGTTGGGTGATAATAGTGAGACATAACGGAAACCAACATAATGGGAAGAAATGGAGATTTAGTATTCCTAATAATTCATTTGTTATTCTGTTATATCTTCTGTAAGCCCAATTACATGCACCACAATCCAAAAGAGGGGGGAAAAGCAAAATTCACTTTGCTGACTTATGTCCCTCCCCTCCCTTCCTTTCCTCTCTCTGTCTCTGCATAAGGACCGACTGAGACCTCCGCAGAGGCAATGAGAGCAGCATTTGAAAGGGCACCTTCTACTCGCTGTCTGTCTGATATTTAAAGTGTTATCGGGATAATCTGGGCTCTTAAAATGTGCTTGCATTCACACGCATACACACAAACAAATTGCACTACACATCAGCAAATACTGACACTTTCATGGTGCCAGAGAGGTCTATAATCCGCTGGAAGCTGCAGACAATATACAGGGGCAACTAGGCTATCGCTGCCAACAAAACAGCAGTGGCCCTCTGTGATTACGGGTGGCAGGAGATAAAGAGGAGGGAGAGGGGGGAATGATATGCATATTATCTGAACTCAGAGCTTATGCAACATTATTTCTAACAGTCACAATAATAATGACCAATAAATGGGGCTACAATGAACTGGAAAGAGAGAAATCCACCATGGATTCTTTAACCGGTGGCCTGATTTGGCTTTAATGAGTTGATTACTGGCCCTTAAACGGTGCTTGATGAAAAGATAATGTTTGTGCTGAATGGTTAGAGGTCTGTATGTTTACTATTAAACTTCTACTGTGGTTCTCACGTCTATTAAATAAGGGCTCAAGAATTTTCTGTTTGCCACTGCATTATACTGAAATATAAAGAAAGGACTCTGTCCTTCCTATATCTCAAGAACCCACACTTGGCAGGTGTATTGCTGGGGACCCAAAGACGTGCAGTGTGGAATTTGGCACACGTTGGACACGTTCAATATTAAAAGACTTTGAATAAACAAGCAAACAGAGGGGGCGGTGCTTCAGAGCTCATTAACTGCACTTCACTTTTACTGCTGGATGCTGGATATACTAATATTACAACCAAACTCTTCTTCACTTCCCTGGAGTCAACGAGCACGGGCAGATAGCCTACAGGAACAGCACCACTCTGCCACTGCAACTCAAACTGTGTAGGTTTGTCATACTAACCTACAATGCTAATAATTACTGCTGGCACAATATCTCTGCTAATTAAATCCATGCTCTACTTTGTAACTTGTGTTTGTGTAAAAGCAAGCGACTAAAATGCCTATTTGGAAACTGATACTTCCAGTAAGCGTGTTTCACCCATGTTTCTGACCTCCTATAAGTTACTGCTGGTTTACAGTGAGTTAGAATAGTAACATAAACATCGTCTAATAAATCTGTAGCTGTTTGGAGCCCTTTTAGTGGGGGCCCCGGGCAGTTTCCTACCTTGTCTAATGGTATAGTTTGCCCCTGGTGTTTTTTCCTGTGAGTGTATTTCACCAGTGTTTCTGACCGCAAGTAGCTGCAACTTGGGTGTGTGATGCAACTACCTCATGGTAGGTGTTTTGCTCAGTACCCAAAGAAGCGCAGTATCGAGTGTCAGGTTGTTTGCATGAGCGGTTCTTCAGAAAGCTTCAAGCAGCACTAACCAAACAATCCTTCAGTTCAGGCACGTTTTGAATGGGCACTGCACCAGTTAAAGGTTCGGTATGTAGAATTTATTGGGATATATTGGAAGAAAAGAAATATAATATATATTAAGTATGTTTTCTAAGTGTATAATCATCTGAAAATAAGAATCACTGCGTTTTCATTACCTCGAAACGAGCTGTTGTGCTATCTACGTAGGGAACAAATCCTCATGTACGGAGATCAACGATGTTTCAACAGCATATTTTTACAGTAGCACAGAACGGACAAAGCAAACACTGGCTATTGTCATTTTTGCATTTGCCACAATAGTACGCAGCCCCTCCACAACAAGAAAAAAACCCCACTTATATTTAATCGTAAAACTGCTTTATTTAGTTTTTGCCAATTAAAATAACCTGGTCCATTTACTTTGGAGTGGAGGAGGCCTCTGCGGATCATTTGGCACCCAGTAAAATCCTACTGAACATCTCAATCTCAAGTTATCAGAGGAAAAAGGTGAGCACACATAAGCAGGTGCTAGGCTAACGGCCCCAAATAGCATGGGCGAAGCACTGATTTGTAGTGTAAAATTGCTTTATTCAGTGTTTTTACTAGTTTAAATGACATGTTGTGTTTGTTCTGTAGAGAAGGGGTCATCTGCAGATAGTTTTGCTCGCAGTAAAAACCTCCTAGATGTCTAGATTATTAATGAGGTGAGCACACATTAGCAGGTGGGCAAGCAACCCATCTGTGACGTGCTAAACAGCATAGGAGAAATGCTGATTTGTAACATAATGTCACTGAGCTAATCAGTGTTTTTACTGAATTTAATCACCAGTTCCATTTGTTTTGGAGAGGAAGAGACCTCTGCAGATAATTTGGCTCCTGATAAAAACCTCAGAAACAACGAACACTGAGGGGATTCTAATTGGGAGAAGTTTCAGCTGGTTGAAATCTGTAATCCTCACTGCTAGATGCCACTAGATCCCCTTAAATCTTACACACTGTTCCTTTAAGTTAAATCTGACACTATATAGTCATATGTTGCACTCCACTATATATTTCTGTGTGTCATTTTGTATTGCACACTATGAATCGCCTTGTTATTGAAAGGTGCAAGACAAATAAATTTGTCCTGCCTTAATTACTGTGTATGTACAACATGTAATGTAAATGCATGCTTATGGCTTTGTCTTTTGTGTATAACATACAGACAAAGTGAATACTCACCACAGTGAGTCACAGCAGTGTGTGCATTTCTGTGAGCACAGTATGTGTGTTATGGACTTTCCATGGTGCTATTTTAGCAAGGTTTTGCCTCTGATAGAGGTGTTCGCAGTCTCACTGTGTCTGTGTCCATTACACAGAGTGCTGCTATTTCGCTTCACATTCCATGTCATCAAAGGTACTAAGAGAGATAGTGTGTATGTGTGAATCTGTATGTGCGCAGACACACACACCAACACACACACAAGTGGACTGTGACCACTCTCCTCTCTCCCTATAATTCAACACATTTATTCACTCCAACTCTACCCTCACAGTCTGTTTCTATAAAAAGACTTGGTCATAGCATCCAACAGTCTATCTAATCCCTTTCTCTCCTCCAGCCAGGCTGTAATGAAATCCTCTACGCTACACCAAAGGTTATTGTACCCTGTGACATAAGAAAATGATAAATGCCAGTGGTTATGATACTGACTCAGCAGGGGGGGAGCTTTTGATGTGTGTGTTTGTGCGTGTGTCTGTGAGTGTGTGTCTGACCTGGGTCTCAGACATGACATAGAGGTAGTGGTGATCAGAAGAGAAGGCCATGTCTCTGAGGATGGGTCCGTTCTCCACAGCCTGCACAGTCTCATACTGCAGAGCACGAGAGGAGCCGTCTACCCGGATCTGGAAAAACACAGAGGCATATTAACAATTAATGTATTTAAAGATGCAGGATGACGAACAATGTATAGACCTATACAGAAGTAATCCCTTTCAATCACCACTTATGACCCGCTCTTAGTGTGTGGCGGCAAATTTTTCTGCAGAGACTCTGCCCTCTGCCTACATTATCTTAGTTTCTTTTTATTTTCTATGTTTAGGACGTTTATGGGTGTGTAATGGCACAGTGCTCAGGTGAGGTCAGAGCTTTGTAAAAACAGGGTTCCTATACAGATTAAGGCAAGCCAGTTTTAAGTTTTTAAAGACTTAAATTAAGTTTAAGACCAATTTTATAACTACAAAAGCTGAAGGAAAAAAACATGAACTGACATCTATTACTTTGGGTTCGGAACAGTTTTGCTCAAATGTTTATTGCAACATAAAACATGACTTTTTTTGGAAAATACCCAGCATTTTGTTGGCAGGCTTGTTGGGCAGTTTCATGTTTCTCACTCTGCATGTGGGATTCCTCTGCTTTAATTCCCATCTTGCAGAGTTTGGACAAACTTTTTGCATAAAATACACCAAGTCCTGTACAGTCCTGCAAAGGCCTTAACTGTGCTGCGAAATCCTGTTGAAATGGCCAATTTGTACCTCCCCGAAAAATCTCAAATATAATGAGGCAAAATGCCAAACGAGTGAATTTGGGGTTGGCGTTTACTTTCACACTCCCTGGTGAGCTTGTTTGCAGAAACTGACAATCCTGGACAGTATGTCTTTAATATTTCTAGTCTTTGTAGCACTCACAGGTACTATAATAAAAACAATATTTTAAAAAGGAAATGTTATGTGAAAATAGGATCTGCACACTTGGACCAACGCAAGGAAATGTTGAAAACCATACATGAAGTATACTAGAAACTTTGCTGATTCTGTCAGATCTGTCGAAGCAGAGCTAATCCTTTTTCACTCAAGCACCAAAGTTATTATTTCAACTTAACTGATATAGGCAACTGAAAATGCAAAACAACTACCTCCTTTTTTTAAAAGAAGCAATAATAATATGCATCTGATATCGTTGGGGTGAAGCAAGTGCCTTTAAGTACCATCAAGTGCATTAACTTACCAATGCTACCCAAGATGTAAAGAAGAGTAGAGAAAAGCCAGCAACTGAAGTAAGTAAAATGACAGGGCTGAAAATACAGCATCAATAAAGGCTAGCTGAGGTAGAACAGAAGCAAAGTGAGAAAGAGTAATGTTGCCTTCCACAAAGAAGGCCTTGGCAATGGAACAAAGGTGACGTCTAGGAGAACAAAGTGTGCAATTAGGGATCAAGGTATCATTAAAAAGGTACTTTTGAACATTATATTTGACAAAATTGCCCATCTACCTCATACAGCCTCAGGATTTTCCCATGCATCATGGCTTCCTGTGCTGTGTCTGAGAAGCTCATCTTTCTCTATCACAGTTCCAGCCATTCAAAAAGTGATTACAGTAATTAGGCATCTGGGCGAGAGGTGTGGTTTGTGGGCCCCTAGGTGTGTTTACTCAGCAGAAAGTGCATGGAATTAGCCCCGTGTACACTTGGTGGTGTGATGGAAGTGTTCTGGGTTGTGCCCGAACATCTGCTTACATCGTCACACACACACACACACACACACACACACACACAACGCACAGGATGTCTTCCAAATGATCCTTTCTAAATCTGCTCCTCTGGCTGTAATTTCCCAGTAACACACGGCATTGACACATACCTACCCAAGCAACTTTCAGCACCCAGTAGAATACACACTCACACACACACAGACCTGTGTGGACTTGCGGACAGGTGTGAGGCAAGTCTCGTTAAAGTTGTGATGACTCCGGGTAGTTCTTTGTGCTCTTCAGCACTTAAGGGTTCATGGGTAATAGGCACAAAATAATTGGACAGGAAGCAGATGGTCGAGCAGACAGGTGAGTCACTTCATGATTAATTATTAATTAATTTAGCTCTTTAAGGTCAAAAAGCCGTAACTGTTCTTAGTAGATAAAGTGAACCATTTTGTAAAATGGGGCTGTACCTTCTGAAAACATAAGTGGCCTTTGCCATGGAGCGGCTATTTCAGTCTTCTTTTGCAAGACTTATCGTTCAAGACAGCAAAAAGTCAAGATAATAAAAGAAAAATAGTTTTCCCGTGCACCATTGGTCAAAAGCACAACAACTATTCTCTCTCTCTCCTAAAGTAGGATAAACACTAGCTTTGAGAAAGACGATATGCACATTCTTTCTTTTTAATCCCAATCCTAATACACCCCTTGCCCCTACCACTAAGCCCTTACCCCTTGATTTTGCTTTTTCACGTCCAGGGATTGGGTGTCCCAATTCTCGTTTGGATAGAAGGGTAGAGCGAAGTGTTAGGGCTACATGGCCTTCCAAACAGAAGTTTTTTAGAGGCAGGTTTCAATGTATTATGGCCCTTTTCTTCATTACATGCACAACAACAACAAAAAGACGCTAAGATGCTAACATGTCGATGTCTCTGTAGCTAACTAGCTGGCTAACAGAGCAATTTTGACATGTTTCGGCCATCTCTTTGGTGGCATAAGATGCCTGAAAATGATCTAAAGTCCAGTAGCAACATGCTGCCCTTGTTACTGCTCCTCTAATATCAGTGCAGACTGGCAGGGTAGGAGCACCGGCTGCCAACGTAAGCCTACAGAGGTCCTCTAGCTGCCTTGTCATGAAGAAGTGTTCTGTTTTATTTGATGACTTGTCTGATCGATTGATAGTGTGAAACTTAAGCTAATGGCTAATCGTGAGCATACTGACAATCACAAAAGGATGCCTGTCGTCCACACAAGACAATCACCACTCCAGAAACGACATATTCACAATATTTGGCAAGACTCATCGTCTGTCTACGTAAATGCCAGCCTACCAATGATGTATCAGGGTCTCAAAGGGTTGTCGAATTTCATAGGGAAAGTTTTCAACATCTACCCCTTGTAACTTGTTAGCAAGAGGCAAGGTGGCACTTGAAAACATGGGGTAGGGTTAAGAATATGAAATGGAATTGGGCCTTAGTGACTGATTGACAGTCACTATCCTACACTGTAACAAAAACCAATCAACACCATCAACTGCTCTGCCATAGTGGAACGGACCTTTTCTTTGTCTGCTTCGACAATCATCTATTGTATAGTAAAGACAGAAACCTAAGTACACAGGGTGCAGTTTGCGTCCTGCCCTACTGCTGCTGCTTCTACTGATATCCAGTTACACAACATGACATTTCTTTAAACAGGCGCCATCTTTCACCCTGATTTCACCCTTCTCTCCCTCCTCCTTTGTTTCCAAGTCATTCTTCCTCTCTCGCTCTGCCTCCTGCTTGGCTTGTGTAGTGATCCTGATCTCAAAGGACCTTGAGTTCTGTGTATCAAAGCCTCACACACTTTCACTGGGAACCATTGTATGCACTTGGGTCAGTTGTAAAGAAAAGAACAGAAGGCGAATGAGAGAGAGAGAAGAGGGAGGTAGGAAGAAAGAAGCTTCCGCGCGAGCCAAGGCCAGATTCAGCAGGTGGGGTTATCTAATCTGCCTGATCGGGTGAGTTAATTTGAGGTGCTGTGCAGTATGCGCGCCGTACACAGCATGTGCGTTCATGTGGATGTATGCGGAGATGTGTGTGTATCAGCTTACGCCTACTGCATATGAGAGACGTGTGGAGCCAATTGCCAAGCAGAGTTAAAGGGCAGACAGTCGATGGCAGAAGCTGAATATAGAGTTTTATTGTGTTGGGACAGATCCACAGTCACCAGGGAGCAGAAGGGCTTCAAGGGGAAGCTTCTGTATATTATCCCTCAATCTGACCACCAACAAAACAAATGAGCCACCAGGGAGTGCACAGCATGTCCGCAAGCATGCAACGCAGGCACACTGGGACTGAGGGGGAACACATGAGGGAAAACGGCTGATTTAAATCAAAGAGCAGCGGACTTATTTGGACAATAATTGGCAAGAATTTAACAGCAGTTTTACCTTGTATTTTTTTTTAATCAACACAGCAGGGTCACCCTGGGCGTGTAGGTTTTAAAACAGCAGTTACACAGTCTTCCTCTCTCCTCGCTTTAAAGGAATATTACTCCAAAATATCCATTTTTATTACCACAAAAACACAGATGACTTACAAACAAAAAGCCTATTCAGCGTAGACTAAACACAGATACCTTAATTCCCTTGATAAAATGGCAAAGCTAATATTTTTTTTTATTAAACAACTAATCCCAGTTTCATTGTCAGCAACAGTAATTATCAATATATCTTAAAGTAATTTTTCCATCAGCTTAAAATCATTAAGGCAGCTACAGTGGTGCTAGCCAATATTATCTGATTCCTTTTCAACAGTAATAAAGTGGATTAGCTGCTCTATGCTAAATGGATTACAATGCTAATCTCTGCTATCACATTAGCACTACACAATAGACATTCACTGCCAGACAGACTTCATTCTGCCTCCGAGTGGTGGGAAGGTGAGAGATGCATTGGGCCCACACATTAATGCACACATACGAATAAGTATTGTGTTCACACGAGCAATTGCGTGTGTAAAAACATTGGCATTTCATTCTCTTTTTCTCTTTCACACACTCACACACACACACAGGCTGTCTGGCTGGAACTACTCATATGGTAATTTTGGGTACTCTGGGGAGGGTGGCGAGAGTTACTGGTGCTTTCGACTCACAGAGCACACTTCCACAGCCCTGCAAAATGTGTGTAGTAAACATCTCTTCGATAGCTCTGTGTGTGTGTGTGTCTGCGGGAGAAATCCACCTTATACCTCAGATCATAGAGAGAGAATCCCATCCCTCCATAAAACGACCACCTTGGCCATAAACTGTATCCCCCTAGTGGCTGTGAGGGATTACTACACTAACACCATCACTGAAGACTAAAATAAAGACAGTGGCTTCTGCAGTAAAAATGCAGTGTATGTAATCTTAACTGTGATAAAGACACAAAAACTCAGAGCAAATACTAT